CTCAGTCTGCTTTCTTATACACCCAAGGACTACCAACCCAGAGCTAACACTATCCTCAATGGAATGAGCCCTCACACATCTGTCTTCGGTCAAGAGAATGTCCACAGACTTGCCTAGAGACCAATCTGACAGAAGCATTCTCAACTGAAGTTCCCTCTTCCCAGATGACCAAAAAAACAGGCCAGCAAATGTTTCATGAGAAATTAGTCATGATAATAATAATGCAAGCCCTTTATTGACCTGACTGACCAGCTTATTCTTGGTGAGGTCTTAAGGACAAATAGGGAAAACACAACTTTCCTCTCAAGCATATGCCAAAGCTTCTAATCAGAGACTGTTTGACCATTTATCTGGTACTCTTTGGTTACATACTGAGCAAAGTGATGAACAGAGTACTGAGTAGCAAGGAACAGTCTAACAAATGTGCTGTTTCGCTAAACACTTTGACATGTAAGAAAAGAGTAAGAGACAACTAATGAGGTCAGAGCCAGACCTCAGTAATGACCGCACCTTGGAGAGTTAGCATCTGAGATGAAATTACAGATTTAATTCAGTTACTTAGCCCCAAAGTCACCTTCTGGCTCTTTGCTCAGGCTGCTGTGTGGAGCAGCAGGAAGTAGCACCTGGAAGGAGCCAGAACCTCCGCCTCTAGGGATTAAATAGTGATGCCTCTCCACCCTTTTCTTCCTTTTCATTTCAGATCAGGAATAGGATCAGTTTCGGTTTTATTTGAAAATCACTTCCAAAAACTTTTACCCAAGTAAGCAAGTAGAAACAGTACCCACCCCCACCCACACTGTCACCTTACCCTTGCCTTTCCCCCAGAAGTCACTAACACTGAAGTGTTCACTTACTAAAACCTCCATCTCTCCCAACGTCACTGAGAACAACTTTAACTGGGTCAGGGCTGACCCAGAAGCTTCGTTTTGCATACTAAGTTTTCACTGGTCTGTCTTTTTAAGCAAAGCATCAAATAACAGAGTACTAAACAAGTTTCTCACTTTTGTTCAAGGAAGGAAGCAGGAATGTGGGAGTGTATTCCTTCTTATCAGAAAAGAAGTCAAAGAACACTGAAGTTAAAGTAAAAGTGTCATTTAATCTCTTTCTTCAATTATTCATGATAAAACTGAGGTCCAATGGATGAAATATCCCCACGCTGATAGTGTAAATCAAAGGGAAAATTACTGACTTTGAAGAAATTTAGCTCACACTCAGCTTTTATAGAGCACATCTGTGACATTTTTAGCATAAAATCCTCAATCACTGAAAGAAATTCTGTCTTTCCTCTCTGTATTTCATACTCACATACATTATCTCTCTTCTGTTTAGGGGAACAAAACCTCTCCACTGTGAAAAACGCATTATGCAGCCTCCAGAACAGAACAGCTATTTCAAACTCTGTTGCAGATGCTGTTTCTGAATCTTAGAAACAGTAACCTCCATTCCTCTAAAAATAAGGAAGATAAACTTAAAAAGTGCTACTGGAGCAATATATTCTTTTAAATGTACAGGAAAAAAAATCATTGCAGATGGTAGAGCTTTTTAGAGTAATGTCTTTAAAGTTACCTTTCTCTGAAAACCTGAAAATGATAAAAGCTTCATGTCTGTAGCTTTTGCAAAAGGCTGTCCTTCATGCATGCACTTGAAATACTGAACACTTCAGAGCCTACTTAGTAATTACATAGAGAAAAATAATAATTTTTTCTAAAAATAATTCAACTCTGTTTCTCCTCATACCACAACATTTAAGGTTGTCTTATCAGTATAAAGCTATGATTGCCAAAATCAATTTTTTGCCAATTTTTCTTTGATTTTTATTGGTTCACCTTTTCTTATAAATTTAACTATAGTTTTATGCTGATTCCTGATATGCCCCTCCAGCTGCGACATCTCACGAACATCTGTTTCCATCTCTAGCTGTATTCTTCATCTTTTCAGTGTGGTATACTCTGTGAAGCCCGGTTCACATGTCTAAATCTAAATTCACCTTGCTGTCTAACTATCTTTTCTCAAGCCTCATGTTTACAACTTTAGGCCCAAGACGTGTTCATCATATTTTCTCCTGGCCTGTTTTCCTACGTTTCTCATATGCTTTTCTTTACTTTTTCCATTAATTCACCCAGTTTTCCTTAGTAGCTACTGTGTCTCAACTTTCTTGTAGTTTATTAGATGCAAAAACCAAGTGTACAGACTCATTTGAGAAAGCTGCTACTATATTCTGAGACCTCTGTGTCAGTGAGTCACTGATCAGGGAATTTGAGCCCAAAACAGTGATTAGACACTTGGGAATTAAACTTGGGAGGGGGTAATATTTCAAATAAGATCCATACTAAAATTCCCGTTTCATTCATACCAGCCTTGAAGTGGGGTGGCAGTAGAAAGTTTTTTCTTTAGAAAGATTGCTTTTATAAAATATTTTTTATTTTTGAAATTATAATTACATCCTTCACCCTCTTTCCTTTCCTCCCTCCAACCCTTCCCATAAACTCACTTTGATCTCTATCAAATCCATGGCCTCTGTTCTCTAATCATTGTTACACATGTATATATAAAACCGCTCAGCAGCAGAGCTCCTAAGGGTAGAACTAATGCATTAGAAGTAGAAGCCCAGGCCTTTCCCCAGGTGTCAGAATGCTGTACTTACAAACAGCAAAATGTGTCATGTACACGTCTTGTTACCTGATTTCGATGTTTGACGCTTGGTGAGAATCACTATGAATCCATGCAGGGAGCCATTTCAAAGGTCTGGACTACTATAGGATTTTCACCAGTAATCTGCCAAGTAAATCCTGACTCTAGGTAAACAAAATAATATGATTTGTTAAATTATTAGATGTACATACTGAATTTTTACTATCTGGGCTTACTGTCTCCTGAATATGAAGGTATGCCCCCTGATCTCAGTATTTAAAAGGCAGAGGCGGAAGGATCACAAGGTCAAGGTCAATCTGAGCAGTGTAGCAATACCATATCACAAAATGAAGAAAGGGGTTGAGAAAATACCCTGGTCCACAGAGTGGCTGTTGTGCAAGCATCAGGACCTGAACTCAATCCTCAGGATGCAAGTTATAGAACCAAGCCCAGTAGTGTGTCCTGGAGCCCCAGCTCTGAGGAGGCAGAAACAGATGGCTTGCCTGGAGCTCACGAACCAGCCAGCCTGGCAATCTCGCCTCTTTCCAGAGCAATGAGAGACCATTTCAGAAAATACGGTAAGTGACCCTGAGGAATGACACCTGAGGTTGGCCTCTGGATGCCACACACATACCTACACACAAACATGAACCCACATACACATGTACACCCACATATTTATATACCCAGAAAGCTTAAAGACAAACAAAGAGAAGTTTTCATTATTAAGAATTCAAATCTAAAAGTACCAAATGACGAATAGTTGTGTGTTCTTAAGGCTCATGTACTGTTAAACAGACAGAACTTTCTTGGGATAAAACCTGAGCTTGATATGAGTATTTATAAATAGGTTCTTGGACTGAAATGATAAATTAGTCAGCATGCAGACCTGTTCTGTAGTTGGTTCTAAATTCCTGTCCACTGTCTATAGCAAAGCCCATGAGCTAGAAACTCTGACGTATGTGCTGTTGGTGCAGAGGTGTTATGCCTCTGGGTATAAATTTTAAAATAAATAAAATTTCTTAGGAAACTAAAAACTACTAGAAAATGTATTTTATAATAACATGATTGTTCTCTTCTTGGAGTACTGTAAGTTATCTTAAGAACTTAGTTTATTTAGCTCTAAAATTAGTCTGCAGAGGCAGTTGTGCGTATCATATTAAAATTCTTTTTGTACATTCAGAGAAGGCTAGAAAATCATGACTGGTCAGTGATTTCTCTCCTGCTCCTGAAACACAAAAGCTTTTTGTTTCATCTCCTAAAATGTACATAGCTTTATATGGAGACCATGAGAAACACCTGCAAAGACTGCAGTCTAAAAAAGGGATAGGGAGGTTCTGGTGTGTGACTGCTTATCAGTCATTTCAAAATGTTTAAGTAGCTTCAATTCTTAATATTAAAAAAAAAATGTTTAGGTCTGGCGGTGATGGCACATACCTTTAATCCCAGCATTCAGGAGGCAGAGACAGGCAGATCTAGCTCCAGAACAGGCTCCAAAACTACAGAGAAACCCTGTCTCAAAAGAAAAAAAAAATGTTCTTAATGCCTATTTTTATTAATCCTCATAAACCCATAAAGCTTATTGGTTTTTATTCCTGTTTAAAGTTAATAAAGGAAGTAAACAAGTGTTTACCACTAAAGAGTTGTGCACAGAGTCAGAGGAACCCCAGAGATGAAAATTGATATCAAACTCCAATTGAACAGAATTTTTTTCGAAATAAATTTGTCTGGTGATTTACTTATTTGGTATACTTCTTTTCCTAGAAATACTAAATTGCAGATCCCAAGTAGAACAAAAGAATGAAACTCTGAAAATGAGATAATAATTAGGCTCAATTTTGATAATAATTAAGCATATAAAAATTTCTCTTTGGATTGCCATACTTTCCAATAAATTCTGAAAGCTATTGGTTTTGTTGCTGGTGGTGGTATTGCTTGCTTTTCTATTGTTTTCCTGGGAATGGAGCCTAGGGCCTCATGCATGCAGGGCAAATGTTTTTCCACAGGGCTACATCCCAGCCCATGAAAGCTCTTAAATTCTCAAGTTACATCACGTAAGTTTTCAAAAGTCAGTGATAACTAATATTTTGTCAGGTTGAATTTACTGCATTGTCTATTGTGGGGGCAAGGAAGGAATAATTCTTCTCTCTACAAAGTAGCACAGAGAATGACTGTTAATATCCCTGGTGTCAATTCACCATGCCCCATGTGACAGGTGCAGAGAGGAAGCCGGTGTCCCAGGTTAGTGGTCTGCGGTCTACTTAGTAAGGAGCATAGTTACACTATAGCATGCCAGATGAGTTAGAGTTCGCCTGTAGTTTGTCTTTATAAAACTGTCAATATTTTTGTTCCTTGTGCTTTATTTTCAGTCAAGAGAATCCATCACTTTAAATGACCTAAAATCAGAAGTATCACCCCGGATTTCAGCAGAGGACTTGATTGATTTGTGCGAGCTCTCAGTGACTGGCCACTTCAAGACCCCCACCAAGAAAACAAAGTCTAGTAAGCCAAAGCTCCTGGTGGTCGACATCCGAAACAGTGAAGAGTATCCTTGCCGAGTGGTTTGAAAGGGTGGATTTGCCCTCTACTCCTGTTTCTTCCTTTCCTTACACGGGCTGTGTGGTGAAGCATTTCTGGAATGCCTCTGGACTAGAATAGCTAAGTAGCTCTGAAATTGCATGCAGTGCGCAAAGTTATAAAAATGTTTTCCAAACATTAGGATCTGTGTGTATGTGTGTGTGTGTGTGTGTCTGTCTGTCTGTCTGTCTGTCTCTCTGATATGCATCATGGTTCTAGATATCATTTGACTTCTTAAAATCAGTGCTGGGGACCAAAGTCAGGGCACTGACTGTCTTAGGAAGCTCTCTACCACTGATCTGTGTATGAAACACTTATACTTTTATTTTTTTTATATTCAACTTCTGTATAGATAGTGCCAACCTCAAGCTGCCAATCTTTGTCTTTTGCCAGGTTCATATTAGTCTCACTGTTAAGCATATACACAATTGAGATGACTCAGTTAATACAAATTAATGGCCACTGTTATTTGTATTGATTCTCAAGCTCTGTATTCATTCCAAAGCTATCCACGTTCCTTCAAACCCTAGCTACTACCTTCAGTACCCATTCGTATACATAGCCTAGTTACCAGCAGAGCAACTCTGCCTGTGTGGATCCCATTAAACAAATGCAGCCACAGAAATCTAGGAAAACTATTTTAAAGGTTGGAATGTAATGATTTACTTTAAAAAGAGAGTATTACAAAAATCCTTTCTTTTTATGACTTAATTTGTCAGGCTTAACCCATTCATTCAAACATCTAATTTTCCTTAAAGCTGTAATAATGGTGTGCTTTTTTGTTCTAAATCTTTACTACATTTTTATGTATTTATTTGTGAATGTGCACATGCTATAGTGTGCATGTGAAGGTCAGAGGACATCCTGTAGAGCTGGCTTTCTTCTTCCTCCATGTGAGTCCTGGGAATCGAACTCTGGTCCTCTGTTTGGTGGCAGGCACTTTTGCTCACTGAACCGTCTCAGAAGCCCAGTGATGATGGTTTTAGAATTTAAAGCCATGAGCTAGAATCTGATACCACTTCTGACCTCCTTGAGCACCATGCAAGCAGGGAGTATACATACATACTACAAGCAAAACATAAATACACTTAAAATAAGCAATAAAAACAACACACAGCTATTGAAACCCTGACAGTACCTATGAAGTATTATGGTAGGTGACTCAGTAGTTTTACCTTTCATCAAGTTAAACATTACAATTATTTAGGTCTAGTATCACTCTACCAATCGTTTTGAGACATGACTAAATGTCTAATTAGTGTACCTTTACAATACTTCCATTTCTTTCTTGCTACAAAACATAGAGAAAAAAGAACACTGTAGTAATTTTCCTTCTCTAAAGAAAGGTAGTTTTGAAATACTGATGTTTCTCCACATCTTGTTCTACCCTCTGCTTCTGGTTAGTTTGGGAGACAAGCTCTCCCATGCTAGCCTCTAACTGGCTATGAACAAATGAACTATGTGCCAGTATGTTTAAGGAACTGCCTTCACAGATGGCTTACAACTGCTGGCTGGGAGTCCAAGGATGCTGCAGTCACTTAACTGATGTCTGTGTTTTGGTTTTGCGTAAAGAGAAGTAAATTAGCAAACCAGGATCATCTGCCACCTGCCTGTTTCTGAGGGCTGTAGCAGACTGCGCACACTGGGCAGTAAAGCACAGTCGCAAACCCTTGGGAATTCGCGCTGAGTGACGGCACTGCCAGACTCCAGAGGTGGAGTGTTTCTCGGTAAAGCTCTTTTCAGTACATCCATGGGGATTTTTGGTGAAAGGCAATAGAAAATGTTTCTTGTGTAGTGACATAAACTTTGAGTAATGTTAATGGCTTTAAAGGTAATGCCCAGCCCAGCTGTTGATTTGGTAGCTATAAATATTTAGAGTTTCAGATTTCCTGGAGTTCATAGTAAAGGTGGCCTTAGTCATGCAAAGGTGGCTCCAGCCGATGCTATAAACAGAACCACCGCTCTGAGGGAATGTTAATCTGTGCTTCAAGTGAAGGCTGAGTTTACAGCTGTGTTTCTAAGCTCTTAGGGAAGGGGGGAGGAAGGAGGGAGGGAAAGATGGAAGAAAAAAGTGGGGGGAAGAAAAACGGGAACACAGCTGAAGACTTCACTTAATCTGAAACCAGCCCCAACTGTTCCATCATTACACCATACTCAGTGAGTGCTAATATTATTCTTTTCACTATTCATGAAGAATTTATTTCTGAAAATATTTTCAAAGTACTGTGGAGATACCTGTGGTCAGAGGAAGACAGGCGATAAGGAGGTTCGGCAAGAGTTTGCTCGCCCTATGTAAGTTTGTATTCGGTCTATCTAAACATTCCATTCATGTCTGAATGGATCTTCCCTAATGTGGGCTGAACGGTAGCTACTGCTGGGAATTTCTCCACTGCTTGGATTAATAGTTGTTAGAGTTACGTTAGCAGTCGGTGTCATTTGCTGTTTTAGCACTAGATCCAAACCAGTTGGTCCTGTTTAAAGACAAAGTTAAATCAGAGTCCCTGTTCTCGGGTCATAGAGTTAGAGTGGACTTTTTAATAGATAATTGCATCACACTGTGATGTGAGTCATACCCAAAATATCATCGAAATACAAGGAAGGGTACAACATGATGGCTGCTTAGGTACAAGATTCAGTGAGCAACGGGATAGAAGACATTTGGGAATGAGAACACAGTCCTCTGAGGATCAGGTCCAGAGAGGCAGAGAACATATTTAAGAGATTACAGAAAAGTACAATGGAGCCAGCAGCTCAAGTCTGTAACCTTAGCACTCGCTTGGGAAGCTGGCACAGGAGGACACGGGTGTAGAGGCCCTGTCTAAATAAATAAAGTGTTTAGGCAGAGAAAAGTTACATGGACCATTTGCAGAAAGGCAGCCAAGTGATTCCATTTCAAATGGCCATTATTAGGTCCTGGTTCAGGAGAGCTGAACTGAGAGATCTGGGCCATGGGACGTTTCTCAGCAGAAATGTTGTCGTCTGGCCACTTTATTAATATTTTAAATTGAAAAGATTGTGAATAAACTGGATTTCCAGGGAAAAATCAAAAGCTTTAGACAGCTGCTTCTGCAACTCTAAGCTCAAGGTAAGTGCTATCTTACGTTGCCAGACCAGTGCTGGGACAGAGATGGGGGATGAGAGTCACCCAAGTGAAGTTGTTAGTGGGAGCCACTGATGAAGTGTTAAAAGTGAGATTTTTAAATGTGGATAATAGGGTGCTGCTAATACTAAGTCCAGTATGTGAGAAAATGATGTCTGAACATTTTTTATTTCAGTTTATGCTACTCAGTTATATATATGGAGAAACCACGGGCTTAGTTCTCTTCCCCTTTTAGGTTTTATTAGTAAAGGTCCAGTCTTCAAATGCATTTAAAGAGATATTGTTAAGTTATTTAAACCAGTCAACACAAAGCAGGCCAGCACAGAGACATGTAGGATTTCATAATTGGCGAAGTTGGTGTGGTCTGATAAAGTTTAGCACCACTGGTCATAATACTCAAAATACTGTGTTCTGCAGGATTCAGAAAAATGAGATTGCTTCTGAGTTGAATTTTGACCATGCATTTTAAAGGAATTAATCTTTGTGACGTAAAGACATAAGATATGAATACTCCCACTTAATTTACCTATAAGTATGTTATGCTCAGGACTCATTTTTAAAATTTCTATCGACTTTAACTACTTAGTATATTGTTGTGTAAGCTGTTTGAACTGGGATTTTTGCTGTTTTTCTATTCCTATATTTTTTCATAGTATCCCAGATTTGCTGAATGTTTTATATCAGGAATTTTTTGGATTTAACATTTTCTTTGACCTGTATATATATTTCTTTTATTATATCTTTAGTACCTGAGATTCTCTCTCCCATCTCTTGTATTCCTGTTGGTGAAGCTTGCCTCTGTAGTTCCTGTTCACTTACCTAGATCTTTCATTTCTAGTTTATGCTTTCTTTAGTGCCTCTATTCCTATTTTTAGATCTTGAACAGCTTTATTCATTTCCTTCAACTGTTCTTTTTTTTTCTTGGCTTTTTTTAAAGTAATTTACTTGTCTCATTTCCTCCAAATTTTTGTCTTTTCCTTGATTTCTTTAAGGGACTTCTTCTCTAAGCCCTCTATCATCTTCATTAAGTTGGTTAAGGTCTTTATCTTGTGCTTCACCTGTATGGACTACTCAGGGCTTACTGTAGTAAAATAGCTGGGCATTAGTGGTACCATATTGCTCTGACTGTTGTTCATTGTATTCTTACTCTGGCATCTAGGCATCTGGATTTGGGGTGATTGTATGTCTGTGCTGATTTCTGAGTTTGTCTTTGTTGGATGGGTGTTTTGTTCCTTAGTTTCTGTTTCCTCTCTGGCCGGTGTGGCTTATGGTTGAGCAGGGATTCTATGCCTGAGTTGAGGGCTAGAATACAGCAACAACGAGGGAAGACTGGGAATAATGTCAGGTGGGAGGGGGCACTGAAAGATTGGAGGAGGTCTGTGGGTAGGTAGTCTACCTGGAGTTCCCATGGCCTGCGTGGTCCCTAATCCAGCAGGGAGTCTCCACCTGAACTGGCAGCTGAGACATAGGGACAAGATGGGAAGAAAGACTTGGGACTAGAGTCAAGGCTGTGGGGCATCAGAGAGTGAAGGAGGTCTGAGAGCAGGTGGCTTACCTGAAGTTCTGACTGCAGGTGTGGCATCTGGTCCAGCAGGGAGTCACCACCAGAGCTGAGGATTCAAACACAGTGAGTAAGAAAGGAGGGGAGATTGGGATCATTTGGGGGGCATCAAGTAGAGGGAGGTCCACAGGTAGGCAGCCCACCTGGTCTCTGGCAGGTGTGGCTTGTAATTAGGAGATGAGTGTCTACCTGGGGGAGTGGAGAGACTCCTACTTCATCTTAATGTCAGCCCTATATGGATTTGTGCTGTGAGCAGTGAAACATAATCACCAAGGACAAAAGGTCCTTAAGTAACTAATTGTTTTCTTCCATGTCAAGTATACTAAAAAACTGCTTGTTGTCAATGCACTGATCTCTAGCTAGGCCGGGCTCTTCCCTGTGTTGTTGGCCAGCAATGCAGTTATGGATGGAAGATGAAGAGGCTGCCAGCCTTGTGTGTCCAAGCATCTGTGCTTACTCAGTCTCTGCTTCTTGACAAAGAGTGTTCTGGGAAGGGTGTGCTTAGACAGTTTCCAGGACTGCACTGCTGGGGCAGCTGTGGTCTAAGGCTCTGCTTCTGGATGCTTTTGCTCCCAAGTACATGGAAGACTTGAAGTGTGGGGCTTTAGACAGAACTTTCCTCCTCTCCAAAACTCTTATTTTTATCATTTTGTCAAGCATTTTGACACTTAATCTCCATTTTAAAAAATTAAAGCATAAAGCATAACTAACATAAAATTCTGGAAAAATAGCAAGTTAGTGACATGCTTTTAGTGATAAAAGGCAGTATAGACAAATCTACTTTAAAAGTACATACTAAGTAGCGTATAGAAATTCCCCAGATGTATCTGTAATTTCAGGTAATGTTATTGATATTCATATTCAAACCAGGTATTCACATAATGTAACTTTAAGCAGTTTTACTTCTAGAGCAGGGGAATTATGATTTTTTGTTATGTGGTTAATATTCTATATAGACGCATTCAAATTGGATTTTATGTTCAAGAACAAATGTAAGCATCGTTTTATTGTTTCTCATTTTCGAGAGAGAAAATAAGATTGACCCAGTGTGTATCAAGTACCTAGCTCTACCTTCCATATCTTCCTCTCCGCCAGACATGACACAGTGTGGTAGGATTATCTAACACGAACACCATGGCCAAGGGTCATGCTTTCACCGGGGGCAGTGTGTGAGGCTGTGCAGACAAGAAGGAAGGAACCAGGTGGGCTGGATGGGCATGTCCATCCCAAGTAGGATAGATCTGCAGTGCTTCTGAAAGTCAAAGCTGTTCACAGTCCAGCAAGAAGAGAGGAGCGGTATGAGCTAGATGATCATCATCACTTTCCTTTGCGCTTTTCCCACAGTGGTATCCAAATCCAAACCCAATATGCTGTTTTTCTGCTTATAATGCTTCAACTTTCCTTATTAGCCGAATAAAGATCATTATCATAAACACCTGGCAAGTTGAGCCTCCACCTCCCTTTTTATCTCATATCCTGAGTTGTCCACAGCATTGTCCTTCCTTGCCCTTAGTTGGGCATATGCTTCCCCACTGCCCAAACTTTGCGTCCCCTCCTCTATTCTATTTTTTTGTTTTAACTTTAATTCTTCAGAACTTGACCTTGCCATCACTTCACCAGTGAAAACCCTTCCCTGTCCTCCCAAGTGGATGCAGGCTGCTACAGCAATTCATACATCTCTTTTACGGTTGAGCCGTATCTTCATTTCCAAAGTTCTATTTTTAGTCCACTTGTACTTTTAATTACTTAGGAAAGCATATATGGATGTTTCAGATCTTATGTCATTGCTAAATATTGTAGGTTAGTGGATGGCTTTACTTTCTAAATAGTAATAGTCAATTAGACCATCAGAATTCTTCTAAAGTATAAGAACCATCAGACATGGCCCCTTAGGAGGTTATAAAGTCAGAATAATGGGTATGTTGGCTCAGTTCACTGGACACATTAACCTATAGCAAAACAGTTTCCAGCTGGGGCTGATGACCTCTAGCAGTTCCCAGTGGAGTTTGACTTAGCATCAAGTATTTTTGGTATCAGATTTGCCCTGAGACAGTTCACTTGCCAGTGCATTTACTTTATACACAAAACCAAACCCTGGTTGTGGTTTTTAACTGGATGATACACTGACTGTAGCCTGTCAGTGACTGTGGCTTCACTGGGTCAGGTCACTTTCAGTCTCCACTGATAATTACAGCTCAAGCTGCTTTTCCTTTCTTCCATCTTCAGGTTTAATTGTCTTCCTCCTTAGAGGATCTTACTTTGCTTAGATAAAATACTTGGGTGAACACGGAAATGTTTAGTACTGTTGTCTAGGACTGAGTTACCTCCGTTTCTCTCAGACAATCAAGACTCAAAAAAAAAAAAAAGTAAAAGAAAAAAGTGGCTTTCCCTAACTCCCTTGTCAGCTTTCTTCGAGGTCACATTGCAGGCAGCATCAACATCCCGTTCAGCGCTGCTTTCACAGCGGAGGGAGAGCTCAGCCAGGGCCCTTACACAGCGATGCTTCAGAACTTCAAGGGGAAGGTCATTGTGATCATGGGGCACGTGGCAAAGCACACAGCCGAGGTAAGTGTACTCAGAGCTGTCCTGTCCCCCCACCTCCAGTTCAGGATAAATAGCAGAAGGCTTAGGAAAACCCAGGCTGTAACTGCTGATGTTTGTCAAAAGTCTGTGTCACGAGCTTAGTCTTAAGTTTGATGATATTGAAAGGTGTGGCCTTTAAGAGGCAGGTTCTAGCGGGAAGTCCTGTGGGCAGTGGAGGTTTGCACCTGTAAGGGACTGTGGTACTGAGTCACTGACTTCTGACTGCAAGCCTTTGGGCTTCCTCGCTTTGTGACTGTGAGCTAATTAAGCCTCCTTCTTTATAAAGTTAGATACCTCCGTTATTTTGTTATAATGAAAGTTAATATGACAGCATAGGTTTCCAGGGATTTTTTTCTATCTGCTTTCTAAAATTTCAAAAATATAAACTGAATTTCTCCTGTCAAAGAATCGGACCAGACATAGGCTCTGCAAACTGCTGGGTGGCATTTGTTGGACTTTGGAAAGATTTGTTTACCTAGAAACTCAAGGATTGGATATCTCAAAAACTTGGACTCCCTCTCCAGATTGAGAGAGGATATTCTAAGCAAAATAAAAAATAAAAGTAGATATGACTGCTAAAAATTACTACCATGAAAGGAAGGAAGGGAGGGAAGAAGGGATGGAGGGAGGAAGGGAGGAAAGGAGGGAGGGAAATAAAGAAAAAAATGGGGCCTGGTATGGCATCACACACCTTTAATGTCAACACTCAGGAGTTCTGGGCCAGCCTGGTCTGCATAGCTAGTGTAGCAAGTGCCAGGGCTATGTAGAGATATCCTCTCTCAAAGAAAGATTTAAAAAAAAAAAAAGTATCAGAGCAGCAGATGAGATCCAAGTAGAGTTACAAACGACATCCCCAGAAAGAGTAGAGATCATTCCTGTGTTGAGCAAATGCAGAACCCATCCCATCCAAGCCCTTTCCCCAAAATGGGGACGAATTATTCCTAGGAAAGTAGTAGTAACCAGTTCCCTGGGGGAACACAGGCAGAGCTATACAGGCAGAGCTATACCAATCAGGTGAACCCCATATGGCTCCTAGGGCAGAATGAAAAGGAAGACCAAAGGTCAGCAAAGTTTCCTCATTGAGAAAATTAGGAATGGAGGTTAAAGTATTCTCATCCAATTAACTTTATGTCTCTGTAAAAGGGACAAACCATAAGAACCATTTTAATATAGTTATCCAAAAATGTAGTCATATGAGAACATGAAAAATTTTGGTCATAGGCTATTTTAAGTTTCAAAAACTTGGTGGGCAAGATGACTCAGTGGGTAAAGGCACTTTCTCCTGACAAGCTGAATTCGGTCCCTGGCATCCACATGGTGGACAGAGAAACCCTACTTCCACAAGTGGTTCTCCAACCTGCATATGTATGTTCACACTCCCCCCCCACACACAATGACTGAAAATATCTAAAAGTTGTTTTAGTAGGACAGGGCTAATGACAGTACTTACTTTGACATTGACTGAAGGCCAGCCTTGATTTTGAATCTTTACTAATTATGCCATAAATCACACCTTTCATACAAATTATGGCTATATATATATATAATGTCTAATATATTATACATATTATAATGCACTTCTAATAAGCATGACACTAATTTAGAACACGATGGTGGCTGAGTACTGTTAAATCCTATACTGCATGTGAGCATTCATTTTATTTCTTTCACATTTTGAACTTACATTTATTGACTTGTACATAATAGATTTTTAAGTTAATGACTTAATGAAATAAATAATCTATGTATTTACAGATATGTTTTCCTGCATGGTAAAATTAGATAAATCACATATTAATATGATTAGGATGTTTGGAATGCACCCTTTCAAGAAAGTTAGTATAATAAGTAGCTGGTCACTTAAAACTTAAATCCATATCCCAAATGAGTGGCAACATATATAATTACAACCATGGTAGCTGTATTATCTTCACGTAAGATGTCATCTTATGACTGCTGGTACATTAGTTATTATGCCATATCATTCCATATATCCATACCACTATGAAGAATCACACCCTTCTAGGCTCCAGGTAACATACACCTTAGGAAACCTGAGTCCCAACAGTGACAATCCAAACTATGAACTAGTCTTTCTATGATTGGTGCTGTAGTAAGTACATTGTGTTATCTCCTTTTGTCTGTAAGGGAGAGTGGTAGTTAGTTAATTGTCAACCTGGCAGAATCTAGATTCATCTGGAAGATAGGCCGTTAGACATGACTGTGGCGGGTGGGGGTATCTTGTCTTCATTGAGGTAGGAAGGCCCACCCACTGCGTGTGCCACTCCTGAATTATGTAAGTGAGAAAGGAAGCTGAGTATGCTGCATGAACTGCTGTCTGTTTTGACACATGTGACCAGCTGCCTCCTTGACATGGTAGACTCTACACCCTGGAACTGTGGCGAGCCAAAATCCAAACCCTTTCTTCATTCCTTCACTTCTTCCTTTGTTGATTCTGTCAAGGCTTTTATCACAGCAGCAGGAAAAGCAGCCGAAGCAGAGGAGTATCTGCCCATTTCAAACATGAGGAAACTGGATCCAGTTTACCTAATACGCCTACTCATGATAGGAACATACGCTGGGTGACTCTGTAAGCTTTGCCATTAATTAGCTTAGCTCTGGAGGCTTTGGAGTCTGAATATTGCCCTGTGTCCTGGCTTTAAAATGGGCTTATTCTGACTTCACACACCACACAGTGCATGAAACCAAAACCTGAAATAAACTTTACCAGGTTATGGCTCTATTTTCATAAAACATTCAGTACTTAAAGTTTCTAATAAGTAGACCTTAGAGGTTAAAACTCTTTAAACTGCCAACTTCTTCCAAACATCCTAATCATATTAATATGTGATTCATCTAATTTTACCATGCAGGAAAACATATCTGTAAATACATAGATTATTTATTTCATTAAGTCATTAACTTAAAAATCTATTATTATGTACAAGTCAATAAATGTAAGTTCAAAATGTGAAAGAAATAAAATGAATGCTCACATGCAGTATAGGATTTAACAGTACTCAGCCATCATCGTGTTCTAAATTAGTGCCATGCTTATTAGAAGTCAGGCACTATCACAATTACTTTTTTCTTTACATCCTACTTGCTGACTCATTTATAGACAATAATGACTGAACAGATTGTATGCCTAGCTACTAATGCTTCAATAACAGTAACTCATTTGTGTTAGATTTAGATTAGGATAAAGATCTATCTTGAACAATGTTTCTTATCAAAGGTCAAAGACAATTTCAGATACTTATTCGTAGACTTTCATATTTCCCTCTGCTGCCCAGCTCTGTACAGCAGCACAGATGCTTCCCCCATATGCACGGAATTAAACGCATGCCAGCCTACGGAACTGGAATTCCACTGTGAGTCTGTGCTTGTGCTGAAATGTTCTCTTGACTCCACTGCCCAGTGCAGATCAGTCCTCTACCCTTCCTCACACTTCATAGTTCTAAATCCTCGCTGTTCATCAAGTGGGGAGCTCTCATAAGCTATGAGTTGGAAAGGAAGCAGGTGTTTGTCCTCCTAGATCCTTCTCAACAATGATCTCAGGCCAGCTGTGTCACTGTTCTGAAAACAGCGATTCTCTGGATGGCCTCTCCCCACAGCACACATGAACCCCTGGCTCTTTCATCTCCAGGAGTGCTAACAAATCTGCTTTGCTGGCCTTGGTTAGCCCTGCCTTTTATCCTTCTCCTGCATCCCCTACCCCTACTTCTCTGTAATTAATCACCACCTTAGTTCATGCTAAGGTCAGGTTAGGATGCCAGCTGTCAGAGGATAGTATGCAAAACATGTGAGCTTTGTAAGCCTGGCTTCAGTGCCTATACTGTGTTTCCTACAGCTGAGTTAATTTGGGCACATATTTTGCCTCTTCAAGTCACCATTTGTTCAATTATAAAGTGAAAACAGCATTAATTTAAAGCTTATAGACAAGATATGTAAAGTTTTTTAAGGAACCTAATAATAGTGCTGTAGAAAGTTCTGGAGCTTGAGTTTAGGGGCATAGCAGAAAAACAGGTACTGACTAGCTCACCCTGCCCTGCTTCAGAGCTCAGACAAGATCCACGGTGCTCAGGGTGGTGTGGCTGCAGACTGATGGCAACCCTAGCTCATTCCTCCACATACTCAGACCAGTCTGAGAAATAAGCACAGTCAGTAGATGATAAAGGAGTCAACTCAAAAACAAAATGACAGTCGTATGTATGTATGTATGGTCCCCAATAGCAGACCACCAAATAATGTTAAGAAATAAACAGAATTAAAATTACTGAAAATGTTGAATTAATGCCAGGCAATTGTATATCTGTACAGCAATAGTTAATACAGTCTATCATCTCTATCATGCTGGAAATGACCAAGTATTTTAAAAAGAAGGTCTTACATCCTTGACCCAAATTGCTCAAAGAAATTTATTTTTAATACTAAACATTCCTAAAAGGAAATTTGTTTTTCAGTACCCATAACATCCATTTATTCATTCTACCCTACTCTCAACCTAAGTCTCAAAAAACTTTTAACAAGCCCCATAGTGAATCCATCTCTCCTAGAAGAAGCTGTTGCTTTGTGAGAATGACAACTTAGTCTAATACTGTGAACTTTGTTTTGGGGTCCTTCTCCCCCTGTGTGAGAACAATGCTGTGGGATGTAACCCCAGAGATAGTAATGGGCCTCAGACTGGAAAACTGACTGGCAGCCTGGACCAGAGGAAAATGAAAGTTCCACCATGGATTCTACTCAACTGTAGTACGTCCTTAAGAGAACACGTAAGCATAATATTACTGCTTAGCTATGAACAAAATTCTTTAAGGAAATATCAGAAAACAGTCGAAAAATTGAGTCCTGTGAGAATTCTGAATGTTTTCTGAGAAAACTCCAAGAAAACAAGACAAGAGTTTTGTGACCTCAGTTTCTTCAAAACCTGGAATTGTTGTTGAAATGTGCTTCTGCACTCTCCCTAGGGGAGCAGAGAG